CCTGCCCTACAGCAGAAGCCGGCAGGGCCAAGTTACAGCCCACTTCTTCGGATGCATATACTTTATACTATATGCATCCGAAGAAGTGGGCTGTAGTCCACGAAAGCTTATGCTCTAATAAATTTGTTAGTTTCTAAGTTGCCACAAGTACTCCTGTTCTTTTTGCGGATACAGACTAACACGGCTGCTACTCTGAAACCTACACACCTAATGTTAACCTCAACTGGTTACATACAGATTAAAAACCACAGTGCCCATCTTCACTACAATTTTATTTTAAGATGGCTACCACAGTATAAAACCACACCGTTTTTCTGTAGCAAAGTCATAGCCAACTGCCACTTTACCACCACTTGGCAGTATAAAGATGCCTTATAGTGAGTATCAATCACCATTGTGCACACTTTCCTGTGATGTAAGAAGTCCTTAGTGAGAATCTGGCCTGATAACTTTAAGACAAAAACCACACTGAAACTGGTCCGGTGGTTCAATTACGTTTAAAGTGTAATGTATGAACTGTATGGACAAATGTAGCTCTGATCAAGTTTATTGCAGTCAGTTGATTTGCTCCCACTTAGACAAGCGCTAAATGTCTCCCATTGTATTTTCAGATATTCAGCAAAGCAGCAAAATTTGCTGGAGAAAATGTCAAAAAAAATTGACTTCACCATCACAAAAAAAACCCACACAAATTTTCTTTTCTTAGGGGATTGCATCTGCTTGTGCAAGCGTTAATGCACTTTGTGAGAGTTATTATGCCTTGGTTCATGCGTTTCAGTCAGACAAGTTGGCAATTCAAATTTCATGACAAAATGCTAACTTATCTTCACTATTGAAAAAGCTAATGAAGTGGTAAATAGTAGCAGAAGCAATGTTACATGCAATGTTCTGCAGGTTTTGAGGGCCTGTCATTATCTGTGAAACTGTATAGATGCAAAAGTAATGAAAGCCCACTAAGAAATCACAACAGGCAAAAAACCCTTACAGCTTTGAAAATTAGGACAGAATTAATATCAATTGTTTAAAAAGGAATATGATTAATTTAGGCCTTCCAAAAGAACTGCCCTAGATACCTTGGCCTGGATTCTCAGGTGAAGACCACAAAGTACCCAGAACAGCTGCCTGATTCTGAGATTGGTTTTGTGCTACTTTCAGCCCTGGCATAATGGAGTGCAATCTTGAGGCTGCTTTACACTATGCTCAGTGGCTATGGTTCCCAAAGAGATGTCTACAAGTAACAACTGGCAGATCACAAATGTCATCAGCAGCAGAAATAGTACTCCAGACATGCCCTTTCCTCCTGCTCCCGAATCATCTAAGGTTACCAGGCACCTGTTTTTTGACTGGAACTCCCAGTCAAAAAGGGACCCTGGTGGCTCCAGTCAGCACTGCTGACCGGACTGTTAAAAGTACAGTCGGCAGCGCAGTGGGGCTAAAGCAGACTCCCTACTTGGCTCCATGCGGCTCCGGGAAGTGGCCGGCATTTCCTGCCTGCTTTCTTATTAACAGACCTATTCTGTTTCCTGAAAGTTCAGATATACACACTGAGTTTTTAGCCAAATGACAGCCGTATGGTTTCATAAGTGTTTTCAGATTTCATCCCAATCTTCCTGGTAAACTGTTGAATTCAAGTACTGTCCACTTACTGAACCTCAATTTGTACGGTCTGCTTTGTTTTCTGAATCAATCCTCTTTCATAAATCTCAGCAAGACACCAGACCTAACATGGATGTTGCCCTCTGCCAGTGTGGTATCAACAGAGTCTGCCCAAAAAACATTAATGAGATATTTTGTGTGCCTGCCTCAACTATCACAAATATAGTATGGCTACAGAACTAGCCAATGGATTCCAGCAGGCTACTTCAAAATAAATATTTCATAGCTCTCCAAAAAGGGCAACATTTTAAACTCCAAAATCCAAACATTTCTGGCATACATTTTAGGTCCTAAATACTCAGAAAGAAAGTGATTCATGGAAGTTACCTTACCAGATCATACTAGTAGCCTGCCCTTGTTAGTGGCCTATTATACCTAGAAGAGGTCATGGGGTTCATATCAAATCTAGGATACAAGTGAATCAGGTTTCATCAATTTTAAAATAAGCATATACGACTGTCCACAACTAACAGTCTCTGTTCATCTAATTAGCACTACATTTTCAACAGTTTCTGTCCACTACTTTAGGAATACCTCAAACTTTGGATGCACAACTTGAGAAACATAGAAGTCTGACTTTTAGCACCCACAATTCCAAATGCAAGTAAGGGGAGCAGCAACCAGTTAGCACCTCTGGAAATCAATATCAAGTTATCTCAAGCTGGGCACCTGAAAATGGAGGCACCCACAAATAATGAGTATTTTTAGGCCTTAGTTTCTCTCTCCTCTCCCTCATTCTCTCAGCCCAGTTCTGCAAACTTCAACGGGAGTTTTTCCAGAGTAAGTATTGCAGGGCTGGGTTCTCTGTCTTTTTCCTCTGATTTTCATTAGCATCCCTAAATCACTCTATTTAATTTGATGGGGGGTTTTAAAAAAAAATACAGTAATGTAGGAACATGTACAAGCAAATATCTAGATTAGAAAGCATTCTACTTCACGTTATCAACATTCTATAAAAATATTCCTCCAAAAGCACTCTATTATTCAAATTTTAAAGAAGCCACTTAGTTCCTTTAAAGTACTTACTACAGTCTATGCTTTTGAGTTCACTGTGCAATAACAGATCATATGGAAATCATTTGTGTATCATTTCTCTGATAATATTCATTTGGGGGGAAATCTCAGATTTCTAATATGTGCAGGCACACTTCCTACAAAAATAAATATCTCCAAATTTCATTTTCTGAGTATTAAAAAGAAAAACAAGAAATGATAGTGACAATAATTTAGTAAAAGGGGAAGATATATTTAAGCATCAGCCAAGTGACTCAATTTTTCATACCATTTACGATGGAAGCTTAAAGACTAAAATACTACACAAGCCATTAGTTTCTCAGTACCCTGCAAGGGATTAAAGTATTTCTTAATCAACTGCTAAAGCACAGAAGAAGGCCAAAGCCTACACATTAGCAAAGTTGGGTAATAGTAAAATTTGGAGATGTTCAGATAGCTTTGATACCATCACAACAAGAAGCAAAGGATACAATCACAGCAAGAAGTGCAGCAGTTATTAAAATCTACTGAAAACCAATTAGTAACTTGACAGTTTCTTAGTCTGCAATATACAACTTTGAGGAATCACATGATAGTAACCAGTGCACTGATTTTTAATGAGGTCACACAAAGCTGACCACACCAACACATTGTTGTTTTTATTTGATGCTTCTAATGACAGAGGGCATCCAAACTAGCCAGCTCAAGAGAAGTGGATAAAGGAAACTACTT